AAGAATCCCTTTCTTGTCCGCTTGGAGGTTTACCATAATCAGTCTTTTCTAATTAATATTCCAGTCATCTTAGGATATAGGAATTACTGGTTGATATTAGAATATAAGCAAGGACTAGTCTTCATTTTTTTTAAATTTTCTTTTTATTTATTCATGAAAGTCAGAGAGAGAGAGAGGCAGAGGCAGAGGGAGAGAAGCAGGCTCCCCGCCCAGCAGGGAGCCCCATGCGGGACTCGATCCCAGGACCCCGGGATCATGGCCTGAGCCGAAGGCAGACGCTTAACCATCTGAGCCACCCAGGCGCCCCTAGTCTTCATTTTTTATAACATGTATCTTACATCCGTAGGCTAAAGAAAGTAAGTAAAAAACTGATGCAAGCCTTCAGTGTAATAAAAATAAGCTTTGTATTCTTGCAAAAGTAAAGTCTTAGGAGTTCATGTGTAACAATTATAACCTTTCATTTAAAATCATTTTCAAAGCATACATGTACGGTGCATGTTTAGTTACATACATTTATTTTTTAATGTCTTTTTTGCAAACTGTCATTTGACAGCCTATGCTTTTCCCCCTTTCTTTGTGCAACTGTATATATAAGAATAATATCATCATAGGCATATTAGGAATGAGAAAAAACAACCCAATCACAATACAGAGCGCTGTTAGAAAGCACAATATGATGATATAAAATAAAGATGACCTAAATGTTAGAAGTATATGCTGTTAAAGTTAAAGGGGTGCCTGGGTGTCTCAGTGGGTTAAACCTCTGCCTTGGGCTCAGCTCATGATCCCAGGGTCCTGGAATGGAGCTCCATGTTGGGCTCCCTGCTCTGTGGGGAGCCTGCTTCTCCCTTTCCCTCTTCTTGCTGCTCTGCCTGCTTGTATATTCTCTCTCTCTCTCTGTCAAATAAATAAAATCTTCTAAAAAAAAAAAGTATATGCTGTTAATGGATTAAAAGACTCAACATAGTTAAAATGTCATTTCTCCCCAAATTGATCTATTTAATGCAATTCCCATCAAAATACCAGAAAGATATTTTTTAGTCCGATCTGTAGACCTATTTGTAGATAAGCTTATTCTAAACTTTGTAAGGTAAGACAGAGGACCTAGAATTTCTAAAATGGTTTTGGAAAAGAATAAAAAGTGGGAGGAATAACTCTAATGCTTGGGCGTGTTATGTCGCCAGAGTAACTAAGGCAGTGTGATATTGGCAGAGAGCTAGGCACACAAGTCAATAGGACAGAAGTGAGATCTCAGAGGTAGATCCCCACAAATATGTCCAATTGGTTTTTGACAAAGGTACAAAAGTTATTCAGTGGAAGAAGGGTAGTCTTTTCAACAAATGCTGTTGGAGCAGTTGGAAATCTGTAAGAAAAAGGACATCTACGTAAACCCCACACCTCATACAAAAGCAAACCCATAGATTTAAATGTAAATATGAAATGATTAAAAATTTAGGAAAAAAAAAAGCACAGGAGACAATGAATCATGGTTTCGTGAAAAGTTTGTAGACTTGACACCAAAAGTACCATCCATAAAAGAAAAAAAAATTCAATAAATTCTGTAAATTGGACTTGAGAAAAAACATTTTTGTTTTGGAATTTCACTGTTATGATGAAAAGACAAGCCACAAACTGGGAGAAACAATTTGCAAGGCACATATCTAATGAAGGACTCATATCTAGAATATATAAATTCTCAAAAATTAAAAACACTCTAAAATTAATAGTTAAAACGAAAGATATTCAATTGGAAAATGAGCAAAAGACATGAACGGCCATTTCACTGAAGAGTCTATTCAGATGGCAAATAAGCATGAGAAAGGATGTTCAATGTCATTAACCATTCGGGCATTTCAAGGTAAAACCACCATAGTATATCTCTACATGCTTAACACTGAAAAAAACTAAAATTGACAATACCAAATGCTACAGAGGATACAGAGACACTGGATCACTCACATTGCTGGCAGATACATAAAATGGTACAGACCCTCCAGAGAGTGTTTTGGCAGTTTCTTTAAAAAGTAAACATACATTTACCATATGGACCAACAACTTTACTCCTGGGCATTAATCCCAGATAAATGAAAAATATGTGCATGGCTGTTTTACAGCTTTATTTGTAGTAACCCCAAACCAAAAATAACCACAATTTCCTACAATAAATGAATGACTACACAAACCATAGTACACAATTAACATGGAATACTACTCACAATAAAAGTAAGCAAGCTACTGAGGCAGATAACTTGAATGGATCTCTAGGACATTATGCCAACTGAAAAAAGTTAGTATCGAAAGATCACATACCGAATGATTCCATTTTTCTAACATTCTTGATACAGTGATGGAGACCAAATTAACAAGTGCCGAGCTGTGGGTCACAGAGTCCAGGGATTGATGGTTGGTATGACTCTAAAGGGAGAGGAGAAGGAAGATCTTTGTGAAAGGGAATGATTCTGCAGGTTCTATATTGTGATTGAGACTGTGGTTACCCAAATCTACAGTATTATAAAATGGCAGAAATATATACACATTGTATCGATGTCATTTTGCTGGTTTTAAAATTGCATAATAATTCACTTAAATGTAACTGAGGACACTGAATGAAGAGTATATGGGACCCCTCTTTACTCTCCTTGCAACCTTTTTGTGAATATGTAATTATCTCAAAACAAAGTTAAATTTTAAAAAGCTCTGCTCTGCCAATTATTAACACTGGGGATTTGAGTAAATTGCTTTGACCAGTCATCTTTATAATGGGGCTCCTAAGACCTCAGCACCGTGGTTATTGTGAGGACTTAATGAGAGAGGTAAGTGACTAAGGACCACAGGAAAATAGGACAAGGTCTGAATTAGAATTCACTGTGTTTGGGCTAAATTTTATTTTATGTACCTTTCACTTTTTCAAGTATTTCTTCTTGCCTAGATTATAAAACCATAAGGGAAATGTATGTATTCCACATTGATGTAGAATTTATTACAGGGACCCAGTAAATTCGGACTGTTGACTAAGGCTAAGAGACCATTAAGATGTACCTGAGAGCATTTAAATCTATCCCTTTTTGGTGCACTGGATGTGAACCAAGACAAGATTTTGGTATATTGGTAGCCATAGTTATTTTTAGAAGCATACACTTCGTGGTTTTTCAAAATTGGCTATGCATCAGAGTCACCTGTAAAACATAGAGCACTAGGTCCTACTCCCAAAGAGTTTCTTATTTTCAGGTCTTTTCCAGAAATTTTCCGTATGTTGCTGTTGCTTCATGGACCACACTTTACAAATCGCTGATGAACTGTGCATATGCCTTGGCTTAAATGTGGGCTTATAACTATAGAAAACTCACAGTACAAGGTGTAAAGGAACTTAATTCAGGACGATATTACACCCTAGAGCACAGGAAAACACATGCTAACATGCAGACTTGGATGCATGTTGGTCAGAAACCACTTTTTGATTTTGTTTTATGAAATTGTGGCTTATAGGCATACTTAGATGACCACGCTAAGAAGAGGAAATGAGATGACTTACGGAGAACATTTTAAATCTGTTTTGGATAATAGTACTTTAAATACAACTATCTACAAATTAAGCCTTATGCCTTATTTCATATAGATTTTGTTGGGGGGAATGGTGATCTTATGATAATGGTATTCTAAAATATGAAATGTATAATGATTAAGGTAAACATTATACTCTGATTCAATATGCCAGTTTTTTTCTATTTTCATCTATAATTTATTTATGTGCCTAGCAGTTGAATGTTTGACATTGAAAAATGAGTCTGTCACTTCAACAAATGGTATTATAAAAACACTCAAATAATTTTAGCACAGATTATTATTATTTTTTAAAGATTTTATTTATTTATTTGACAGAGACACAGCGAGAGAGGGAACACAAGCAGGGGGAGTGGGAGAGGGAGAAGCAGGTTTCCAGCCGAGCAGGGAGCCCGATGTGGAGCTCGATCCCAGGACCCTGGGACCATGACCTGAGCGGAAGGCAGATGCTTAATGACTGAGCCACCCAGGCGCCCCAGCACAGATTATTATTACAAAAAGAATATCCTTCTAAAAAGTTAAACCAATGTTTCTTTCAAATATTGGGCTCATCTGCTGTGTTAAAAATGTGATAAAGAAGCCTTCTATTGGCAAAGAATGGTTTACAAACATGCCAAATAACATATTACAAGTGTGTTCACTTAATACAGAAAACTTCTTTTGAGAGCCATTAAATAATTAATAATTAACTCGATGTCCAAGAGAATGGTATTTTAATAATTGCCACCAAAGAGGTCAAAGAGAGTGATTTTAATAAAGTTTTCTCATAAGGTGCTATGGAAATTTAGCATTTTCGGAAGATTTCTTCATTCAATTATAAGAGTACTCTTTATTTGAGCAGAAGCCTTGTCCCCTGAGAGCTATACACAGTCTGCCTTCAGAGCTCAGCTGCTACATTCTGCTGTTGCTTTTCTTAATCAGACTGTTGGCATCATCAATACCTGACTTTTGATAAGATCCGCAGGGTAGAAATTAAGTTTGGTAGATAGGGGATGCATAACGAGTGCAGAGATTATCCTGGGCATTTCTTTTTGTTCAGTAGAGTGAAATTTTTAGCGTTGTTGAGAGGGTAAAAAAGGAAAGGCATTTCAGAGTCTATTCTGGATTAGGATTTTCTGCTCTGTTATTTTAGAAATGTGCATAGAAGTCACAGAAAGTACTGTCATTTTATATACTGAGGAGTTTTCATGTTTAGAAGCCTGTGAGAGCAAGTACTATGTCCACTGTGCTATTCTGGTTTGGACATTAATCAGAACACAGTTGAACATTATTTGACTTCACAGGGCTTGTCATGCTGGAAGAACAACCTTATATGTAGTGGCCATGGGCAGTCCTATTATGGGAAACCAACTTGAGAGAAAAGGCGGGTCACTTGCTTCTGCGCAGGTCCTGGAATTTGAAATATCCAGGGGCCTCTACAGAATCCTGGCATCATTTACTATGTTGACTCACTCAGTGTTGGGATCACTCACTTTCCCCTTACAGGACTCAGATCTTGGAGGCAATTAACTTCAGAGAAAAACGAATAGGAAAAACTGAAGTGTTCTTTTTTAAAAGGCTGCTGAAGTTGGTTGATTTCTCATCATTCCTAAACCTATTGGAGCACTAAAGTTGGGAGAAAATTTACCAAGACTTTTCCTGCTGCCTTGATATATACTTTTTTTTTTTTCCCAAATGCTTTGGTGGGAAGAAGTAGAGGACTGTTGTAAGTACAAAGTCACTAAGAATATTTTTACCGTGGCATAAGTTTTAGTTTGTGGCAAGCTCACTGATTAGGCAGATTGATTTTAAATTATTATAGTAGTTTGTGAATAAGAATAAATGTTATCTTGAATTTCCTGTACACATATATGTGCAGGTGTACATGTTTCTCATTGGGAAAAGTTTTCAGTAGAAATGAAGTAGAGTTTAAAGTTTTTTCTTTACAAATATAATCAAGATCTTTCTTTTTTAAGAAACCACTAAAGTAATAGAATATGCATGACTGGCCTGAAGTATTTGTAACAAACTATTTTAATTGCTCTGAAGTTCGTGTATCTGAGTTATTATCTTGATTATTTGATCCTCTCTTCAGTAATGGTTGCATGTGGGGCAGTGATCTGCTATATATTCTCAATGAACTAATTGTGGTAGTGGAATGATGTGTGGAGACCCCAAGGTTAGAAAAATTCTATCTGGCACATCTTGGGGGGAAAAAATTAAAAAACAGAACGAATTGTGATGGATAAATGGAGGCGGAGGAAAGTATGATAAATATTTAATTTAAAAATCCTTGTCTCATATTATATTTAGTATTTGAGTGTTCTGTAGCATATCATGAAAATTCCTTCAAATAGTGATATGATCTTTGCTGGCAAATGACCAGACACTTTTGTTGAGAACACAACATAAAAGCAAGAGGGACTTCTGATCATTTCACAGTAAGCTCACCGTGTTGTTTCATGTCTAGTATGACCTAGGTTTTCAGTAAAGCTTTTTTATTTGGCTTTTATATAAAGTGCATCTATTTTGTTTATTTTAAGAAAGTCATGATGACTAATGAAAAATTGAGAAATTGACTCTGGCACAGTAGTAAAAATAATGTATAAAAATAATATATGAAGAGTACAGTGTGTCCCAAAGAGATGGACAGAGGCGATTACCTTGTCTCCCTCACCCCCTGCCTTTGACTGGTGGATTATAGCCATTCTGAAACAGATACGATGGTGATGCCTATAATTAACAGTGAAGAAAGTAAGTCTTTCCAAATAAGTAATTCTTCAAAATTTCTGGTAAAAAGGTCACAACACAACTCTGGCCTCTGTGCCAAAAAAAAAAAAAAAAAAAAAAAGAACATTGTGCACTTACTGATTCACATTAGATGCTACCAGAGTTTATAGTAAAACATGTTTAATGAAATTTTCTTATTTTACAAATTTATTAGGTGAGCACCAGAATTGCTTTCTGGTTGAAAAACCATCCCATTTACTAATGTTACAAAAATACAACGGCGTATATTCTTCGCAATGTACGCATATTGATTGATCCATTGTTATACCTACAAAATTCACACCAGAAACCAGTGTAGAGAGTGATGTAGAAAAAATAGCAAAGATGCAATTCAAAAAATAACAAAGAATGAAGCAAGGCAAACCTACTCTCTGCTTTGTCATAGATATTCAAATAACTTCAAATTCTTCATTAGAATTTAAAGAAAGCTAACCTTTTTGGGACAAGCTCTGTAGGACTTTATTAAAGCACATTTTAAAGCTATCAGGTGCAACTTTAAGCTGCATGACAGTGGATTTGTTAAGAGAATATGAAGATATTCACACGGTTATATTCTACATTAACTTTTACCAGCTGACATAACTTCTGTTTGAATGTATTGACATTGGATTGAGGTGTTTTGTTTTGTTTTTTTTTTTTTTGAATTGCCTTAGTTTGAAAAAACGTAAAAGAGTACACGTGGGTGGTTTTTATGAAAGTAGTTGCCAGAAGATCCCTGTATTAACATAAAGATTGTTTACTTTTAGAATTGCTCAAATATTGCATTGCAAAGAGTCACTCAAATAATTTATTGCAAATATACATTTCATTGGAATTTTTTAAATGATAGAAATTATCTTGAGTTCTAATAAAATCACCATTTAGAATGATTTCATTTACAGAGTCTTCTAAGGGCATCTTAACTCTGAAAAAGAGATTGCTGATCTAAGTGGATAATATATTTTTTAATTGAATAAGAAGTTTTCTCTATCTCTTATGCGGCATAACATTATGGAAAATGCAGTAGAGAATGTCACGTAGTAGTTACTGTAAACTTAAAGATTACCAAGTGTTTTGTGCAAATTCATGTTATTTAAGGGGAAAAAATGTGTCAGTTGACACTACTCCAGCTAGAGAGTACTGAGATATAAATTCATAATTTGTACAGAGATATTAATACAGCTTCCTCTTTGGTTCTGAAGTATTCATTTGAAATCCTTGTAGTCCAAGTCATTTGTTACATGAGAAACAAATTGTCAAATTCTTAACCACTTGTGTGGTTTAATAAAAGAGATTTAAATCTTTGTTGTCTTAGAAAAGTCAGGGTTTTTAAAAATTTTGTTTTATTATCTTTCATCATGGCTTTATCACAAGAAAAAAGCAAAGTGATTTCCCAAACTTTCCTTCCCCTTCCACCTTCTACTGTAATATTCCCCTAGCTTATTAAAAATGATTTATCATACGTTTTATTAAACTATTCTTTCTTCCACTGCAGATACAGGAAACATGGTATTTTGATGTGAGGGTATCTGATTATATAAATGCATGAAGACACACTTAAATCACAGAGCCGTTGACAGTTCACTGGAAATTAAGCTTTCTTTGAAGATAATTTTCTGTTCATGTCTTTGATTTTCTATTTTAGACATACATCATTTTTTAAGAAATTGACAAATAAGACTAATGTATGTCCTCTGTCCAACGAAACATAACAAACCATGAAGGAAGGAGCAGACCAAGGTTTTACGGGGCCTGGGATTATACAATTTGAGGGAGGGGAGTCTTTTAAGAAAAATAATACAAAATCATGAACCTACAATGAGGTAGGGCCTTGGGAGGAACCAGTGTAAGTGATCGCCCTCAAGGCTTAAACTTCAAAAGTCCTCAACTTTAAAAGTGATTTCATGGGAAATCACCTCCATATGAAGGGATGTGTTGTTGAATATTTACCCAGTTACATTTTAAGATGAAATTGATGCTAGTTATATTTCTTTAAGCATATGTTATTTCTCAAAGACAGGCTTTTATTTAATGCAGATTACAGTTAAAAGAATGCGTAATGGTAGGAATTTGACATTTCTGCCTTTCATTCTGAAAAGATACATTGATTAAAATGATGTCAAACTCAGTTAATGGAGGCGGTGCAGCTATTTCAGATATACAGGGTATGTAATTTGAAGGCAAGCCAAATCACAATGAGAAGAATAATGATGACCTTGGTTTATTTTTATATAGCACATTCAGATTTTGATTGGATTCAGAAGGAGGCAATGGTTTTCTTTCTCACAAAGTCCTGCTATCATCCTAGGAGATTTGTGTTCTGTTATCAAGGCACTTGGCTCATATTGGAACATTTTCCTGGGAGGGTCATGGGCTGCAGTATGGGAAATGAAGAGACTTTTTTTTTTTTTTTTTTTTTTTTTTTTTAATTAAATGCAACCAAGTTCCATAACAGAATTGCATGGAAATGTTTCTCTTTGGGGAATATACTCCATGCAGCAGACTGAGCTTCAGAACACAAATAAACAAGCAAACATCTTGCAGTCTTCACCTTTCTCCTCATTTAAAAAAATCTGTTAGTTAAAGTTCTTGGGGTTTCACTCTCTACAATATTGACAGAGTAATAGAACACGGATTTGGATTTTGGAAGTTTAATTTACATACAGATACGAAAGTTCAGTTGGCAGTGTTGGGTAGTTTATTATTTTGCCACTTTGGAGAGGGTTTGTCTATGGATGTCACGTGTGGAATTTTTCTTCAAATCTTCATCTTTGTAAAATTTCAAGCTCCCTCTAGTTAATATTAAAAGTGAACGTGTCTTTTAGAGATTCTCATATCCTGTCTTGAAGGGGACAGTGACCCGGCTCTTTGTGAATCGCTCATATGCAAACTATCATTTGAGGAGTAACAACAAACATGATTTAGTTGACTTTTTTCCTGAAATCTATAGTGTAAAAAGCTTATTTTTCCCATATCTTATGGCATAATATAATTTTGCATGTACCTTTTTTTAAACCAGAGGTCTCCTCCAGGGATCCAGAAACAGTAACTCTCAGGGACAACATGGTCTTTCTCTTTCTCCATTCAAGATGACTGCCCTGAATATGGGGCAGACGAGGCGGGGGGAAGGGGGAAGCGCAAAAACCTTGGCTCCGGTGTTCACGGGTATCTTAACTTTCTCGGCCACAGTTCTTACAGGCAGCAGGCATAATGAGAATGAAGAGAGGAAAATGGTCCTGCTTGCTCGTGCTTAAAAGAGTCCTAACCTGAAGACTGCACAACCTCTACCACATGCCCAATAACAAAACCAAAAGGCAATACTCCCCCTGGCACAGCTCAAGCCCTCCACTGAGGCGGCCATTTTAAAAAACAATGTCTATTCAACTCTTTGCTCCATCTGATGTTATTCTGATAGCATGTATTCAAAACACCTGGGAATTTTAATAGGTGAAAGAACCCACAGGGCAGTGTTCTCAGGGTCTTACTGTCCCCAGAAGGATTTTGCATAGTGTATGTGATGATATTAAGCCCTGAGAAAAAAGTGTTCCTAGCAGCCTGGATTGAGTTTGGAAATCAATTTCTTCCCTGTCTCCTTTATTATCTTTTGCCTTCTGCCTCAGTGCCTCACTTTGGCTTTGTCATTATGTGTGCCATTCTTCAGTAATGGAAGGCGGGGGCGAATTGACAATTATCCTTTAACTGGAATGGAACTGTCATTTCTTTGCTGGTAAATCGTTGATGCTGCTGTTGTTCTTGTTGTTCGTAAATGGCTCTTCCAGAACTCTTAATACAATATTTCAATTCCATATAATTTTCAGAAAATAATATAATTCCATATAATTTTAAGGAAAAGATGTTGGAAAATTGATGTTTGACATCTGAAGTATATCGAAGACTGGTTAAAAAGATTCAGTCTTACGTTACTGTTCAAGTACCAGGATCTGAGGAGGAGCTTTG